TATCACCTCACACCTGTCAGAATGGCTACTATCAACAAATCAACAAAGGACAAGTGCTAGCGAGGATGTGGAGAAACAGGAACCCTAGTACACTGTTGGTGGGAATGCAGACTCGTGCAGCTACTATAGAAAACAGCATGGAGTTTCCTCAAAAAACTAAGTATGGAACTACCATTTGACCCAGTGATCCCACTTCTAGGAATATATCCTAAGAAACCCAAAACACCAATCAGAAAGAAGTTATGCACCCTGATGTTCATAGCGGCACAATTCACAATAGCTGAGATCTGTAAACAGCCCAAGTGCCCATCAGTACATGAGTGGATAAAAAAAGCTGAGGTACATTTACACATTACACAGTGGAATACTATGCAGCTGTAAAAAAGGAAAAATCTCTTACCCTTTGGGACAGCATGTTTGGACCTGGAGAGTATTATGATAAGTGAAATAAGCCAGTCAGAGGAAGACAAGTATCACATGATCTTGCTCTTATGTGGAATCTAATGAACAAAATAAACTGATGAACAAAGTAGATCCAGAGACATAGAAACATGGAATAGACTGATGAATCTCAGAGCAAAGGTGGGGGTGAGGGAATGGCTGGGGAGAGATTAATCAAAGAATTTATATGCATAAATACATAACCCAGGGACACAGACAATAGTATGGAGAAGGCCTGGGGCAGGGCAGATGTGGGGTGGAGGGGATCAATAGGAAGAATATAAAAGGGGACATCTGTAATACTTTCAACAATAAAGATAAATTAAAAAAATAAAAAATAACAAAATAAGAAAGATTAGGTTCAAATTCCAGTTCTTCCACTCCTTGTGACGTGTCCTTAGGCCCTTCTTAGAGCCTCAATGTCCTCATTTTTAAAATGGAGATGATAATATCTATTTCTCAAACTTTTGTATAATGTGTTTAAAACAGGTGATACAAAAGTTTAACCACAGGGAATTCACTTTCTAAGAAAGAATGGAAATGTCTTGTGTACAAAAATCAATAATTTTTTTTCTGACTCTGTTTTATGTAACACACACACACAGGCACACACAGCTGGCTTGCCATATTCTGAGATGAATTGCTGAGGTAACTAAAATTCTACTTCAAAAACTGTGGAGGATGAATAAATATATAAATAATAAACAAGTCAAGTGAAGTAAGCCACAAGGTTCAACTGAATTGTATCTCTTTTCCAGGTTTGATCATAATTTCATAGTTGAGCACTTCAACCACATTTGGTAGACTATCAAAAGCTATGAAGAAACATCTCATGTTACATTTAAAGATGTGGTTGCCATATTGAAACAAATAAGTTACAGAAACTTCTGTAAGAAAGATGGCCAGAAGACCGTCTTAAAGCAAAATAAACATATCTGACATGTACATGAGATAAAATCACATACTATCTGTAAGCCACTATCTTTCACAGTCTGACATCTTGTTGATTTTACCCATCACTTAGATGATATCTGATATGTTCCAATGTAGTACATTCGATCATTGGAGAGTTTGAGTTTACTTATTTATAAAAACTCAGGGCAGTGTTTGGCTTCTTTGCACTTTGGGTACTTCATATGCCACTATGTGCAAATCAGATATTTCTTAATTTATACAGCACCCACTGGAAAATGTTTGATGAAGCACGTGTTTCTTTTTTGGCAAACAAACAATGTTTGTCTGTTCTGAACACACACACGAAAGGCACTTGCCTTTGGATAAAAAATCTCTCTTGGGGAAGAAACACTGTATCTTAGCTCCAAATCTCCTTTCCTCTCCTTTCTCTTTGCTCTAAGATCACAGGTTCTAGCTTTGTGATCTCTAGTAGGTAAAGGAAAGGAAATTCATAAGTGTGGGGTCTGCTATGCATTAGGCACTATCCATACATGTACCATTATTCAGCTTTACCTCTACAATGGTTATTACTATTGAAAGGCAGAGAAGGAACCAAAAACTAGGGATTTTAAACTGAGCAAGGACTTGAGTTCAAGTTCACAAAATCCCAAACCCTGTCCTTTCAATTACTTCATACTTCTTGGGTAGAGTTTGAAATATGTGTGTGGCAGGGACAGTTTTCAGATCTATTCCAAGTTTACATAATTTAGAAGATCTGTACCTCAAATGGTCAAATATAAGATTTTGGGTGTTGCTTTCTGAGATTATTGGAAGTATCATCCTAAGTAAAATGTATGTGAAATGATTGGTTTGCATATCCTAAAAAGGAATGAACAGTCAGTGGTAGCACCTAGTAAAAGAATCTGTGAGGTTTGGGTCTAGTTTAATTGGAATATCCAATTAAATTCTACAATTTATCTTCTTTTCTTTTATCCTTGAGTTACACTAGGAGATAAAAGTGTCAGTGAGAACATTTAGGCCATACAGTTCAAATTATGCATATTATTTGGATTAAGTCGTTATTTCTGGCATGAGCTTGCTGATTACCCTGCACATGTAAGCTAGAGAAAAAAAAAGGAGTTTCTAAATCTACGTTAAGTTGGAGAGAGAGGAATGGAAGTTCTCTGCATTGGATCTAAGAGTTTTGGTCGGGGGCCCTGGAAAGCCAATTCTAGTCTCAGGTAGTGCTCCATGGAGTTGGCTGGGTTTGTGATTTACTTTCTGGCCAATGAAACCACAGTTCCCAAGGTCTCCTGTCTCTTTTTTTAGATCTCATATCATGGGAAACACCTAAAAAATACTCAGGTTTCCTCATTTATTTTTCTCTTATTACCAGAGGAAGGAAAATATGTGGAAAAATCAAGAAAACACCAGCTGCTTGACACCATAACCTTGCCATTGTGCTCAATGACACAATACACCTTTGTCTTTTACTGAGGCAGGAAAGTTTGGGGAGAAAAATAACACAAATTGTGGCGATTGGGGTGAAGTAGTGAAATTGGAATCAATAATTTTGTTCTGGGTACTTATTAGACATCCAAGGGGAGAGGTTTTCAGATATAATGTAATGGTATAGATTGTTTCTACTACTGCTGTTCTTGTTATTTTCAAGGTGTGGCTGCTAAGACCTTGTGCCGGCTTACTTTAACAATGCAGAAAGCAGGTCAGAGCTATCAAATTTGGAACCAAGTGCATGACCATGCACTTAGGATAGGTGTCAGGCATCAGAGTATAAAGCAGGGAATCTGAACCTTGGTTCAATAGGTTGTTCTGTAAACTGGCAAAGATTTACAAATATATTCATGAAAAACCAATCTCTACCTCCCACATACCCATATATTTGATGTGTATGCTAGGGAAACTTTCTAATTATTGAGTGTGTCAGAACTGATAGGAAATTACAGAAATAAAGGAGAGTAAATAGCCATGAAAAAACATGGGAATAGAGGGAGCTTGGAGTCCATCCCCTGCTGACATTTATCCCTTCTGAACAGTGTGAAGTGACATACTTTGCCTACATATCAGACCTTATCACATTCTGGGGACACCGCTTATGAAGACATGGTATAGTTGTTAAAGCTTCCTTTTGAAAGAAATACAATTTTGCTAAAAGAAGTTCAACACTGACCATAAGAGAGGCAGGATAGACCCTGGACTGAACATCTGAAATGTCAGTGGAGCCCTGCGTCTGTGGTTAACTAGCTTTGGACAAATTGCTTGCCCTCTCTGAGCCAGCCCCAGCTTTCTCAGTTCAACTGTGGGCATTGAGCTGAATATGTCCTAAGGGCCCTCCCTGTCTCAGCAGTTTATGAACTTAAGAGTAAGAGCATTAAAGAGTTTGTTGTGGTTGCTCAAGTGTGACAGGAGTTGAGAGTTAGTAATAGGGAAGGTTTTCTTACAGGTTCCTTGTGACTCTATGACATTGTGAGATCCCAGCAGGCACAGTAGTAGGTGGCTTCATCGGACTTGATGACATTATTGATTATCAGGTAAAAAGTTCCATCATCTTTCCTATACGTCTCCAAGCGGGGATTGAGCTTGTTGTCCTTGTCATTCTTGGTTGAGCCATAAAGGATTCGTCTCAGGGGCTCCCCTTCTTTTTGTTGATACCAGTGCACAATAACATTTTTAAGGGGAATCCCAGACAGCTTGCAGCTTATGTGCACTGTTTTATCTGGTCTCTGGGTAAACGAGAGTTGATCCTGCGATATTTTCATTTTGGTGTCTCCATCTGAAAAGCAAGGGAGATAATTCAAAGTGCTTGAAAAAGTTGACTCTGAAGACAAAAACAATAAAAAGATAAGAAAGGGGGAAAGTCAACCTACAAACCAAAGCCAAAGACACAAGGAAAATCCAGGAAGGTGGCATTGCTAGTGACTAGTCAGAATGGACACTCCCAGGGGTGTGAATCAGGACTGGGGCTGCAGGGACAACCCTTGTTCTGCAGAGGCAGGCACGGAAGAAAAAAGGTTTCCTATAGAGCCCGTGAAAGTCTTCAGTAAAATTTATCATGTTCTTGGTATAAAAGAACTATCAGATCCCAGAAGACCACATCAAAACACCTGTGTTATACTAATTCAATGATGACTTCCTCTCGAGAGCCATTTCCTCCCATTTTTCCTTTAAATGTTGCTTCAAATACACCTATTCTTGAGCTCAGTTACAAATTTTTCACCATATTTTGTGAGAGTGTGGGTGACTCTATGTGGCTAACATGAGAATGGGAAGGAAACTATCATTCTTTATAATAACTAATGATATTATATTCCCACAACTTTATGAATAAATATGTATATATTTTATAGGTTAATAGTTTGCAGAAAGTTCACTAAGTTTGGAAAATATTAACAATTGCTGTAGATATTTCTTTAGATAATATGATATTACTATGCTCTGCTATGAGTGAAGAAAGATGTCAGAGGGGAAAAAATCCCATTTGTTTCCTTTCACTCTTTTCCTATTCACAATTCTTAGCTTTTCAGAATTAAAGCTACACTTTACTGTTGTTTGGAGGACAGTGTAAGATGTGATTTCTAAAGAGTTCCTGAAATGGCTCAGTGAAGTGGTTTAGTGATAATGGGAAAGAACATTGTCATTTGTTGAACACAGTGTAAAACTTTAATATATGAAAACTCACTCAGTCCTCAGCAACATGATGAGGCTGTTAACACTACGCTTACCTAAAATTGGGAAAACAGAATGAACCTAATTTAGTAACTTTCCTGGATCATGCTGTCTGTAAGAGCCTGAGCAGAAATTTGAAACCAAGGTCTATGTCACTCAAAAGGTCTTTTTTATCTTTTACCATTCATTCATTGTCAGCAAACCATGTTGAGCACTGGACTGCAGCTTCCTTTCCAGGAAGCTTCCATAGATGGTAAAGCAGAGGCAATTTAGGTCACCTCAGAAAAGCCAGTGTAGGGCCCAGAGAGGTGAGGATAGATTATAGTGACATTACTGAAAGAAGCACCACAAAGTGGGTCCTTGGGCTCTAGCTCAGACCTCGCTCAGGACACATGTGCAGGAGAAAAGTCCTGTGTAGACAGTAACCAGATCCCTCTGGGAGGTAGAAAGGAGGAGGTGTTTGTGGTTGTACAGATGGGACAGCATGGGAGAGTTTTTGTTCAGTGACAGTGGGTGTTTCCTTGCAGTGTCTTCCATCCAGCAGGCACAGTAATACCGTCCAGCATCTGCCTCCTCAACTCTGTGTATCCTGAGGCTCACCAACAAATGACCCTGTCTTCTTGCTTCATATCTTTCCTCACTAACACCTTGTTCATGGATAACATTGTCATTTGAGGAAATGTACAGAATCCGTTTGAGTGGCTGGCCTCGTTTTTGTCGGTACCAATGTATATGTACATTCGTCCCTAAGATGTCTCTTATTTGGCATTCCAGAAACGCTGTACTTCCTTTCTTCTTGGTAATGGATGTTAGGGCTTGTGTTATTTGAATGTCTCCACTTGTGTCTGAAAGAAAAACAAAAGCAAAAATTAGAGAAATTTTGGCATTTATTAAAATAGCATACACTTGTTGTCTGGTAGTGAAAATCTTGGGATCCGCAGTTTTCATGTTCTTCCTGAGGAATTCAAGGTATGGTGGACTCTGTCAGCTTAGTTTGAACAGCTGTGTCTTTCTTCCAGCTGCATGGGCTACTTAGACCATCCAGGCTTTCTGTTGCCTCCCTTGGAATGAATAAGGTATCCACTGGGTAAAGTCACTCACAAGTCCAAAGGCAGGCCACCACGAGGACCTGGGGCAGGAGCAGCATTCTGCCGGCAGCCACCGCGGAGGTGATTCAATAATGGAATTATCACAGAGCCAGCCCAAGGGCTGGCTTCGTAAGAGGAAGTCGCGCTCTGAACACACAGCTAAGACCCATAAACTGCAGGAAAAGGGACTTGTGGTATTTCCCAAAACATCGTGTGGAAACAGGTCTGTTAACTGAATTTATCAGCAGATTGCCATTGTGACTGTGTGATTGTCACCATCTGATGATATCAGTGTAAAGAAGCCATTTTTCTGTTAAAGGACTAAAATGTTTTTAATGGATCCAAAACGGAGAGGGGGAGAGAGCAGGAGTGAGGGAGGAAGAATGGGAGGGAGAGAGAAGGATATTTTTGCTGGGTTGTCTTTTAATACTTTAGATATTTTACTCCAATATTTTCTTGCTTGCTTGTTTTTGATGGAAATCTGCTGTTATTTTTCCTCCTCTGGCTGCCTTCAAGATTTTTCTTTGCCTTCGTCTTTGTCTTTATCTTTGGTCTCTATCACTAATTCTGGAAGACTTTCAGCCATTCTTTCTTCAAATATTTCCTTTTCTCTATTTTCTCTTTCTTCTGCTTCTGGTGTTCTAATTGCAAATGTGTTTGAAAACTGGGTATTGTCCATAGTTCTGTACTTTCATGATTTGTGATTTTCCGTTCTATCTCTATCTCTACCTCATCTCCTTATATTGCAGTTCGGGGAACTTCTAGTAGCCTATTCTTGTGTTACCAAATTCTTTCCTTGTCTCTGCTGAGCCTACTGTTGAGGCCTTCCAAGGCATTCTTCGTTTCTGTTACTGTGTTTTTTACTTCTTGCATTTCCTTTGATTGTTTGTTGTTGTTTTTTTATAATTTTCATCTCTCTGCTGAAATAGCCCATCTGATACTGCATGTTGTTTTACTTTTTCCATTAGAGCCATTAATATATTAATCATACTTATTTCAAATTCCCTGTATGTTAGTTCCAACATCTTCATCATGTCTCAGCCTGGTTCAAATGATTGCTTTGCATCTTTGGACTATGTTTCTTCTTGCCATTTTGTATGGCTCTGAAATTTTTGGTTGAAAGATGGACATGTATAGTACAATAGATACATATATTTATGCTTGAAAATGAGCACACCTTTCCTTCTGCTAGGCCTTTAGTGTGGGGATTTGTGTTGTTCTAGTCAGGTGTTATACCGGGTTTGAAGTTTGTTAGGTTATCAGGGTTGGATTTTGTTGTTTTTAGGGTTCAGAGATCTAAAATGTATCTGCTCATACTTTGTTTTGGTCTTCTCACTTGGCTTTAAGTCTTCCCTTTGTTTTGCTCCCCATAAAAAGTCTGTCTCTTGAACCCCCTTTAGTTATATTCCAATTCTTTTTATTCAAGGTATTCTAGCATGTGGTGAGAGGTAAGAAAAGTGGACATTCTCTGACTCAGTGGTAAGCAGGTACAGTTAAACTGGGTCTTGAAAATGTGGCTTTCTCAAGTGTTCCTGCCCCTCTCCCAGAGGCAGAACATTTTTTACTGCTGTTCCCCTCCCCCAGCTGCAATAGGTTTCCACCCACTTCTGGCTATGGTTTTGAAGCTCACTTTTCTGCATATGAAAATTTGTTACTTTTTGGAGTTAGGGGAGATGGTTCTGGGCAAAGTTTTGGTTGTACTGCTTCAAATGCAATGGGATCCCACCAGTGCCTCTCCCTGCAGATTAAGTCTTTTTTTTTTTTTTTTTTTTTC